ATTCTAAACATGGCACATGTTCATTATAAACTGTTAAGTTTATGGAGAAAAATAAGAAAAAGTTTACAGATCTTCCCAAATGAGATCACACAGAAGAAATAATTGTGTGTATGTGTGTGTGTGTGCACCTTCAAACACCCCTCCCTGGTCTCTCTGCCTATATCCACATGTAGCCTGGACGTGCATCTCAATATCAATAGAATCCATTACACATACTGATCTGGACCCTGTTTTGCATAGCAGTATGGCATGGATGGATAACTTTCCATAAACTTACATAATCATTTTTATAAGATCTCATCTAACACGAGCTCTCCTTGTACCTGATAAAGGGAACATCTACTTTTTGACTAAAGCTTGTTGCCTGCTTTTTTAGAATGCCAGGGATATAGCAGCACACAAAGCCTCCTCAGTTGGTCCAGTGGCCCGAGTGTGTCTGAGTGGCCAGCAGTGTGCCAGTGGACTGTCAAGTGTGTTTAGGCTGTTTGGAGACTGGGGACAGAGGGCTTAGCCAGCCTGGCTGCAGCTACTTTTTATTGTGCTAGTCTCTGTTGAGCTCTAGTTTCATTCTTCAAGCCCTCTAAGAAATCCTGTTTGCATTTTCCCTCTGCAACGTGCCAGGAGTGCAGAAAGTGCAGCTCCAGTCGGGGAGCAGCTGTGTCCTGGACACGCAGGAGGCAGAACCATCCACTGGGGGCATCGCAGGGCTGATCCATTGCTCTTTGATGGGTTGAGGCCTTGTGTTCCAGTCATCCCAGTTATTCAAAAGAAAATACTGATATGTATGTGGGTTTATGCTTGAAATCTTCTTAGATGAAGAGAAGTAAGTGTTTAAAAACATGAGAAAGCATTGTGGGATCCAACAAAGCACACTGGCAGCTTTCTGGAGTCATCTGAGTGCCGGTTTGAGACCTTGGATCCATGAAGCCATTTGTCTCTGTCCTGTCTACCCCAGTTCTAAAAGTATTGACTGGGTTGGCACTGTGGCATAGCGGGTAAAGCTGTGGTGGCCGGCATCCCATATGGGCACCGGTTTGAGTCCTGGCTGCTCTACTTCCCATCCAGCTCTCTGCTGATGGCCTGGGAAAGCAGTAGAAGATGGTCCAAGTGCTTGTGCTCCTACACCCTTGTGAGAGACCTGGAAGAAACTCCTGGCTTCGGATCAGCACAGCTCCAGCTGTTTTGGTCACCTGGGGAGTGACCCAGCGGATGGAAGACCTCGCTCTCTTTCTCTGCCTCTCTATAAATCTTCCTTTCAAATAAACAAATCTTAAAAATAAAATGAAATAATAAAAGTATTGACCAAGTGTGTTCTGCATGGCAGCCACTGTTTAAACAGATGCAAATAGGAAAATGAACAGTTGGGTTCCCTGCCTTGGAAGGGAACTTAGAATGTAGAGCAGCTGTTCTCAAAAGTGTGGTCCTGAGCCCACTGCATCCCTGCAGCCACTGTATCACTCCAGACCCCCTGAACAAGCAAATGTACTCTAACAAAGCTTCCTGGCGCTCCTGATGCCTGCTGAAGCTTGAGAATTGTGGGCCTGGAAGGGGAGGCAGGTGTGCCGAGCTTGACGGGATGGAGAAGGTATGGTGGGAGTCAGGTAGTGTTTTCTGAGTGAAGGGCTCTTCCTGATCTTAAAGCATGAGTAGGAGTTGGCTAAGTGGAGCTATGGGAAGAGGTGTCCCAGAGAGAGGGCACAGCAAGAGGGGAGGCTGTGTAGAGGGTGTGCTTGGGGATCGCCAGTTTAGTGCATGTGGCTGAGCCCTGTAAGATCCTCTGGAAAGTATAGTGGAAGAGTGAGTTGGGGCCGGCGCTGCGGCTCACTAGGCTAATCCTCCATCTAGCGGCGCCGGCACACTGGGTTCTAGTCCCGGTCGGGGCGCCAGATTCTTTCCCTGTTGCCCCTCTTCCAGGCCAGCTCTCTGCTGTGGCCAGGGAGTACAGTGGAGGATGGCCCAAGTGCTTGGGCCCTGCACCCCATCGGAGACCAGGAGAAGCACCTGGCTCCTGCCATCGGATCAGCGCAGTGTGCCGGATGCAGCGCACCAGCCGTGGCGGCCATTGGAGGGTGAACCAACGGCAAAAAGAAGACCTTTCTCTCTGTCTTTCTTTCTGTCTCTCTCTCACTATCCACTCTGCCTGTCAAAAAAAAAAAAAAAAAAAAAGTGAGTTGGGGCTGGGTTTTTGGTTCCAGGCCAGTTGAGCTGATTGTGTCTTATGGATCCTGGAGACCTCTCAGCAGGGGAGTGTGGCCAGGGGTCTGAGGGGTCTGTGTGTAGGAAGATAACACTGATAGTGCCTAGAGGGCTAACCTGGTGGCCTGCTGGCCTAGATCTTGATTCCTGCCTCTGGTGGTGTAACTCAGATCTGGATTAGCAATTCCCGACCTTGGATAGGGTGGTGGGCAGGGAGTCCCTGGCCGCAAGAGGATGCAGCAGCCTTGGCTGCATGTGCAGTGAGACCCTGGGGGAGCAATCTTCCAGATGAGCACTGGGGTGATTCCCGGTGTTCTCAGCCCTGCAATCCTGCTTTAGAAGAAGCCAATTTCTGCACAAGAGATGTTTTGGGAAAAAAAATTGCTCTATTTCTTCTGAGATGCACGGTGTCTAAGGAGGAAAGAAATTGAATTCAAGGACTGGAGAAACTCACGTCGGCACCAGCTGGGGCTCATCCTTCTTCCTTGTCCCCATGTGCTTTTCCTCCTTTCTTACTCTGTTTTTCATTTAGGACAGCATTGATTATAGAAAACTCTTGAGATTTTCCAACTTCTTTTTTTAAAAATTTTTAGAAAAAAAATTTTAAATATTTTGTTTATTTATTTGAGAGGTAGAGTTACAGACAGTGAGGGAGAGAGAGAGACAAAGGTCTTCCTTCCATTAGTTCACTCCCCAAATGGCCGTAACTCCCCAAATGGCCAGAGCTGTGCTGATCCGAAGCCAGGAGCCAGGAGCTTCTTCCAGGTCTCCCACGTGGGTGCAGGGGCCCAAGGACTTGGGCCATCTTCTACTGCTTTCTCAGGCCATAGCAGAGAGCTGGATCAGAAGAGGAGCAGCTGGGACCAGAACCAGCGCCCATATGGGATGCTGGTGCCACAGGTGGTGGATTAATCTACTGCACCACAGCGCTGGCCCCCCAACTTCTTTTTTTTTTTTAAGATTTACTTATCTATTTGGAAGTCAGAGTTATACAGAGAGACAAGGAGAAGCAGAGAGAGAGAGAGAGAGAGAGGGAGAGAAAGGTCTTCCATCCGCTGGTTTACTCCCCAAATGGCTGCAATGCCCAGAGCTGTACTGATCTGAAGCCAGGAGCCAGAAGCTTCCTCTGGGTCTTCCACATTGGTGCAGGGGCCCAAGGACTTAGGCCATCTTCTTCTGCTTTCCCAGGCCACAGCAGAGAGCTGGATCAGAAGTGGAGCAGCTGGAACTCAACCAGCGCCCATATGGGATGCTGGCATTGCAGGCAGTGGCTTTACCCACTATACCACAGTGCCAGCCTCCTAACTTCTTATAAAAACCTAGGCATCTCATGCTTAGCTTTGATGCTATCCATGTAAGGATTTGGAACTGAGGCTAAAGACTGCTAGTGGCAGAGCAGGCTGTTCGGAAGTGTTTTAGTTGTAGCCGTGCTGGGAGGCAGGTCTGTGAATGTGAATTACTTATATACAGCCAGAAAATACCCATTGCCTTAACAAGTCCTGGACCCTTTATTGAGACCCTTTCCTTTTACAGTTTATTGGGTACAGAGCTTAGGAATTTTTTGGTTTCTTTTTCTTTTTTGAAAGGCTGTGGGTAAGACATGGTGGAAGCTGGATGCAATGTCACCTCCCCCTGCTGGTCATTGTCATGCAGTGTCATATTTATAATAGAGTGGGGACACAAAGGGGCAATCTAATGCCAGAAATACAAAGAGCCTGCAATGAGATGATTAATTTAAAAAATAGTTCAGGTGCAGTGAATTTAAAAATCTGGGGAGGGGGAAAGGAACTTTTTTGGTCTCCTTGGATTGTTTGCAAAATGATGTAGCGAGTTAGGAAGCAGTTACTCTTTTGTCCTCAGATTACCACTCCTCGTCCGTTAATGATTTAATTATCATGTCCTTTATTCTACCCCTGCAGTCAGTGCTTTTTTTCCTGAGCTAAAATGAACAGGTTTTTCCTGTTGCTTGGTCTGGGTGTTCATTCAAGTAGATCTACTCTGTATACACAAAACAACCAGCACTCTTTCTTCTAGAGAGTGAAAAGTGATATTTGAAGAGAGTGAAACTTGTGTTTGTACTTAATGACTGATCTCTTCCTGCCCCGCCCCCGATCCCCAAAGAGGAGTTCATAAATGACAGGGCAAGTTAACTATGACTCCGTCTGCAGAATGACGAGTTGTCAGGGATAATTCCTCCCAGCCCTGCTGGGAGCTTGGGCACGAGGTTTTCGTAGCTGTTCTCTGGACAGTTTTCCTGGTCCCTCTTTATGAATTCCCTTGTCTGGTAATGTCTGGATTTAACATCTTTCTTAATGACAACAGCAACAACAAAACCCCAGCTTTATCCTTATTTTCTGAACCCCTTGGTGTGGCTTTGCCCTTTTGGACCCGGGAGAACCAGGCTCGCTCCTGGTTCTCAGGTGCGTCTGTGCTGGAGGACAGCTCGGTGAGGAGAGGCTTGGAGGGAGGGACGGCCACTTGCTCGGAATGTGGCTGCGCCTCTAAGTACGTGGGTTGCAATCCGGGTGCTCCTCCGGCATGGAGCTAGATGTCAGTAAGGACCTCTCCATCTCTGCTCATAAGTGCTATCAAAATGATCGAGACATTTGGCCTCATCTGGGCGTGGAGAGCAGTGTTGGGAATCCAGAGAGAGAGGGACTAAACTTGTTTTTATTCACGTATAAAGACTTTCAAATATAGATTGCTGGCAAAGCCTCCAGAGGATCTGCTGTGGGCTGGGCATAGCCAGCAGACACGCTTGCCTCCTTCCTAACTATCCTCTGTGTTTCTTTCTCTTTTCCCAGTTGCAAATGAAGCCGGAGACAAGAATGCCAGACCCCTTGCGCGCTTCTCCCGTAAGTAATCCAGAGCCTTTTTCCTCCGTGTGGTTCTGCTCTGTGATCCCGACAGGAGGATAAAGCCCTGATGCTTGAGGTGTCTTCAACTGCGTCCTTTTCCGTTGGAGCCCTTCACAGAGCTCCTACTCCTAGCTCTTGCCTTTCCAATTCTTGGGACTGTGGTTTCCTAACTTGCTCTTGCACTTTACCAGTCAAAGTCTGGTCCTTCCAGCAGCAGCAGAACTGACATCATCCAAGGGCTTCTAGAAATCTGGAGCCTCAGGACCCCCACCCAGACCTACTCAATCAGTCTGCCCTTTTAGCAAATCCCTCGGTGATCCCTGTCACATTAGAGCTTGGGAGTGGTGGTGTTTGCTGTGGGAATAGCCTCCGAGTGCACTGCTGTGGCCTTTTAAGAAGATAAAGTGGGCCTGTGCCGCGGCTCACTAGGCTAATCCTCCGCCTGTGGCGCTGGCACCCCGGGTTCTAGTCCCGCTTGGGGCGCTGGTTCTGTCCCAGTTGCTCCTCTTCCAGTCTGACTTTCTGCTGTGGCCTGGGAGTGCAGTGGAGGATGGCCCAAGGGCTTGGGCCCTGCACCTGCATGGGAGACCAGGAGGAAGCACCTGGCTCCTGGCTTCGGATTGGCGCAGTGCCGGCCGTAGTGGCCACATGGGGGGTGAACCAACAGAAAAAGGAAGACCTCTCTCTCTCTCTCTCACTCTCTCACTGTCTAACTCTGCCTGTCCAAAAAAAAAAAAAAAAACAAAGAACAAATATAAAGTGATAAAGAGAGCTTGAAGGGCTTGTAGCTGTTGATGTCCATACATACATAAAAGCATCTCATAGGGGCTGGCACTGTGGCACTGGTTCAAGTCCTGGCTGTTCCGCTTCTGATCTGGCCCCCGCTGATGTGCCTGGGAGGGCAGAGGAGGATCACCCAAGTGCTTGGGTTCCTGCACCCATGCAGGAGATTTGCATGAAGTGCCTGGCTCCTGGATTTGGATTGGCCATTGCGGCTATTTCGGGAGTGAACCAGTGGATGGAAGACCTCTCTCTCCCTCTCTCTTCCTCTCTCTCTCCCTCTCTTTCTCCCCCCTCTCTCTCCCCTATTTCTCCCCCTCTCTCTCCCCTTCTCCTTCTCCCTTTCCCTTTCCCTCTCTCTCTCTCTCTCTCTCTTTCTCTCTCCTCTCTTTGTATCTCTGTTATTCAAATAAATAAATCTTTCTGTTTTTTTTTTTTTGACAGGCAGAGTGGACAGTGAGAGAGAGAGACAGAGAGAAAGGTCTTCCTTTGCCGTTGGTTCACCCTCCAATGGCCGCCATGGCTGGCGCGCTGCGTCCGGCACACCGCGCTGATCTGATGGCAGGAACCAGGTACTTATCCTGGCCTCCCATGGAGTGCAGGGCCCAAGTACCTGGGCCATCCTCCACTGCACTCCCTGGCCATAGCAGAGAGCTGGCCTGGAAGTGGGGCAACCAGGAGAGAATCTGGCGCCCTTACCGGGACTAGAACCCGGTGTGCTGGCGCCGCAAGGCAGAGGATTAGCCTAGTGAGCCGCGGCGCCAGCCTGGTTTTTTTTTTTTTTTTTTTTTTTTAAAGCATCTGGCTCCCTGGCTTTAGCCCAGTGTGGTGACATTTGGGAGCCTGGGCAGACTTGAGGGTGTCCTGCAGGCTTGGTGATATTTGCAAATCTCCTGGCTCCTGGCTTTGGCCTAACCAAGCACTGGTTTTTGCGGCCATCTGGGGAGTGATCCAGCAGAGGGAAGATTGCTCTCTCTATGTCTCACTCCTCCCTCTCTAACTCTCACTTTTTACATAAATAAATACATCTTAAAAAAAAAAAAAAGAAGTGGAGCCAGGATTTAAACCCAAGGACTCTGATATGGGATGTAGACATCTCAAACAATATTTTAACCACTGCACCAAAGTTCTATCTCCTAGCCAATTTTAACATGTAAAACTGAAAGTATAATTAATTTCCCTATCTATAAGCTTCTTCTAAACTCTGTCTTCCTGGGTGTTTTTTGGGAGTCTTAAAACCTTTAGATTTACTTCTGGAAATGATTTTTATAGAACTGCAATCTTGTATGGTAATGGAAGAGCATGAAGCACTCACCATTTAGAAGTCATGTAATAAAAACACTCGCTTCTCATGGGCCCGATTTTTCATTGCCCTCCTACCTGGAATCATTATTTCCAAAATAAGTGTTCCAGCCCACAGCTCCCTGATGACGAACCTGCTTTTATTCCCTTTATTCCTTCACCTCTCGAGCAGCCATCAGGCAAATTGACAAGGTGGAGCCGTCACCTGGCCACGCCGTGTGCGCAGTGCAGGCTGCACCCCCACAGGCGCTCCCCACCCTTGTCACGAGGTGTAGGAAGGGGACACGGTCCGCGACTAGGAAGCCTGAACGGGAGTCCCTTCGCAGTCGAGGAGGGGCCTTCTCTCATGCACGGTGTCCACACCCTCTGCACTGTGGCTGTTTCAGGGGTGCTGTGTCACTGTGATGAAGCTGAGTGAGGGCACAGGGTGGAAATTCCTACACAGGAAAAATGTAATTCGTGGCAAGCCCATTGGGCTGAGCTCATTCTGAAAAAGTATGTAAAAAGAAAGGAAAAAAACCTGTACGATGTCTTGGAAAAAAAGTCACAGGGTGTCGGTGACTACACATTTTGTAGCAAATAGGAGGGAAGGGACAATGAGGTGGCTTTTAGACAAGACTGTGCATTGCTTTGTGCCACGCCCTCTGGTGGACACTCATCTCAGGCTGCCGTGGTGGAAGCACCCAGTGAATGAAGTGTTCACTTGGGTAGAGGGCAAGGGCTTGTGTGGTCGACCATAGCATGGATGACTATTGCAGTTTAAAGCCCTTCTGTGTGCTGGGATCAGGCACGCTGCATCCCGCAGGGGCAGGGTCATCAGGCATGCACTCCGGGAGGCGAGGGAAAGGCTGGCTGTGCTGAAGGACATGGTAGCACGGTGGCGCGGTTTCTGTGGGACTCTGGGTCCTACCACAGGCCCTGCCCCGTGGTTTCCCGCCTTGGCTTCTGCTTCTGATCAGCCTGACTTTGGCCGGAGCATCTGCCCGACAGCCCAGGCACACAGAGCTACAGGCAGTCCGTGTCCTGGAGCAGGGGTAGGATAGGAGGAGGAGGGAGCCTTGGGTGGGACTCACAGGACATGGACAATGTTTTCCCCTCAAAGCCCTGGAGAACGGCAGCATCTAGGCAAGTGAGGAATGAAGGGCGACTTTGGCTGTAAGGTACCGTGTGGCCCAGGGCACTACCAGATGCCATGAGACTGGCAGCTGTGTGCGGGCAGCTGTCCTGGGGCTGGAGTTGTGTGAGTGGTCTCTGCCTGCAGCGGGCAGGGCGAGCTGCTTTCCTCGTCTAGGGCCTGGCGCTGGCCGTGTCTGTGACCTGGGGGCTTGGGGTCTGCTGCTGGGTAGTACAGGTGCTGCGGCATCGGCAGGGAGCAGGCTGTGTCGATCTACGATGGAGACCTCCAAGACGTCTGGGTCCCTTGGCTGGGAAGACCTTCCCCAAACCCCCTCTCCCATCAGCTCACTGTGGACGACATTCTCTAAAATAAGAGACAAACTTGAAGACGGGAAAGGCAAATCCCCTTGGGAGAGTGGACCTCGTGGACAATTTTACTATGGAGAAAGTGGGGAAAAGCTGACCTTTTGGTTTTCTTCTCGCTGACATCTGCAAGTATCCTCTCAGTATGTAAACAGGAAGGGGTGGGGGGGGGCGGAGCGGCTGTTTCATTTTTCATTCATTGACTCATTCCTTCATCCAGTAGTTGCTGGTCTATAGGCTAATGGCACAAATTCTGATTATAACAAGACCCCTTTCATCAAGGAGTGTAAGGTTTGATGGCAGGAGGCAGGAATATTGGCCCACAAAATGGTGACGGCCGTTGGAGAGGCCAGCGTGCACTGGGGACTTAGGACGGGGCTGCTGCATAGGACAAATTCAGTGTCCCTGAGGAGGGAGTGCTCGGACTGAGTGTGGAAGGGTGCGTGGAGTTACCTGGGGCGGGGGGAGGGGAGGGATGGGGGACAGCTCCTTTACAGAGGGAACAGGTGGGCACAAAGAGCCTTCGAGTCTGGGGGAACTCACTGGAGAGGCAGCCCGAGATCGAGCCCTGAGGGTCTTTGAGGTTGTCTAGGGAGCTGGACCTGGTTCTGGGGTAGGCTTTGAAGGGTTTGCACACTCGCCCCCCTGCTGGAGCTGGAGATGGCCTCTAGGAACCAGGACGGTGCTGCAAAGAGCTCCCTCCTCAGCCCAGATCTAGGCCCCAGCCAGACGAGCAGCTTCAGAAACCCCTGGAGACTGGGGCTGCTGACGTCACTGGGCCTTGCAGGATGGAGCAGCTGGCGGGGGGAACAGGCTCTTTGTAGTCCACGCATCTGGGATGCTGGCAGGGCATTTTCCTCTCAGGCCAGGCCTGAGAAGCCTCCTCCCTGGAGGCTACTTAAAAACAATTTTTAAATTATTTTTTATTTATTTGAGGTTGGGTGGGGAGTGCACTCCCACATACTGGCTCACTCCCCAGATGCCTGCAGCAGCTGTGGATGGGATGGCGCCACAGCCAGGAGTGCAGTGCAGGTCTCCCACGTAAGTGGCAGGGACCCGACCCCTGCTGCCTTCCATGAGCTGCATGAGTAGGAATGTGGAGTCAGGAGCTGCAGCCAGGGACTGAACCCAGGAATTCCAGCACGGGCTGTGGACGTCTTAACCACTAGGCTAAATGCCTGATCCAGGTGTCTGTCTGTCAGTCTCATTAGACAGTCATTCTTGCAGGCCCAGGACCCCGTGTGGTTGAGCTGTGAGGAGACCGTGCCTGGTGCAGGAACAGACATTTGGTGGATGAAGATGAGTAAGAGTTCCTGTCCTGAAGTGGTCCCGTTGCTCTTTCTCAGTCTGCCATCACGAGCTTGAGTGACTGTCCACTGGCTGCACCCACTCCCCAATCCCCTCCCCTCCAGAACAGCCCCCACCCCAGGTCCCAC